GCTCAGCTGCTAACCAAAAGGTTGGCAGTTCGAATCCACCAGCCACTCCTTGGCAACCCTATGGGGCAGTTCTACTCTGTCCTATAGGGTTGCTGTGAGTCAGAATTGACTCAACGGCAACAGGTTATTTACTTTTCTAAGGAGTTCCTGGGTGGTGCAGACAATTAAGTGCTGGACTAGTAGCCAAAAGGTTGGCAGTTCAGACCCACCCAGAGTTGCCCCATAAGACAGGCCTGGCAGTCTGCTTCTGAAAGGTCGCAGCCTTGAAAACCCTGTGGAGCAGCTCTACTTTGCACACATGGGGTCACCATGAGTCAGAATCAACTTGACAGTAGCCAGCAACAACAACAGCATTTACTTTTCTAGAACACAGCATTGTTAATACTTAATGTAGTGGTTATACAGTTTACATTTTCTAAAATAATTCAGAATATATCTGAATATTGCATAGTGGCTGATAAGGAATTTCTTTAAGTGATATGTTTTAATGTTATAAAATGCTAGTTCATAAAAGTCAGCTACTGTTTAGCAGTTATTAATTGCTTTTGATAATTTTAATATTGAAACCCAGCACATACCCCTGCCCCCCAATCCTCTAGAGGAGGTAGCAAGGGGCTTAGAATAGAATAGCAGAATAGCTAGAAAAAGGAGTAGGAACCAGCACAGTCACTAAAAATAAGTCATGCCAAACTAATATGATTTCTTTGTTTTATTGGAATGATTATATTTTTATAAATTAGAAGATTGCTGTAGTATGTGTTTATTTCTAGGGAGGCTTTCAGTGAACTTTCATGAAATACAGTTAGTAGTAAGATGAATAATAAGTTGAGTTTTAGTATTTGCAGCATTTTACCCAGTGAAATTGAAGAAATGGTTATGTTAAACTAGGGCTCTGAGTATCAAATATTTTCTTGACTTTACTAAATTCATATTTGTCACATATCCCCCATAATGACATTTTGTTTTACTCGGTATTGGAGAGAATGGCATTTGTTTATTGGAAAAGCCCTTTTGCCCAGAGGTCCTAATATAATCTCCCTTATTAAGAATAACTGAATATAGTTTTCCCTTGATAGGCTCAAGTCTTTATAGATTATGTCCTATCTTAATCAAAATTTTGGTCAGAGACTTTTGAATCGAGACACACAAAGTATGCTTATCCCTTCTTTTGGAGGTATAAAACTGGAAGGCAGAGTAAAAAAGGAGGATTCAAAATGACAGCTTTGATCAGAGGTCCTAGTCAAAGCAAGTAGATGAATTTTAAAAGCATTAATTATAAACTATTGTGCTGAGGGTTAAGAGCAAATGTATATACAAATAAACAAGAGGAGATGTGCTTTACTACTCCATTTATTATGTATAGACGTGGAGTTTTTCATTGACGATAGTTTGAGATCAATCTGTGGTTGCTTTAAAAAACCACCGAAAACCAACTGGTGAATGCTATCTCAGAATGAAAGAAGCGTGAAACCCAAATCAAGGGAGCAACATTGTTAAGTAGACAGCATCTGGAGTGTTGTGTTTTGAAAAATGGGGTAAACCTTGAAAAACGATCTATGAGTAAAGCTATCACTTAACATGCTGAGGGGAGTTGTGTTTTTTTTTTTTTTTTTTTAGTTGTACTTTAGATGAAGGTTTACAGAACAAACTAGCTTCTCATTAAACAGTACACATATTGATTTATGAGATTGGTTAACAACCCCATGACATGTCAACACTCTCCCTTCTCACCCTGGGGTTCCCTATTACCAGCTTTCCTGTCCTCTCCTGCCTTCTAGTCCTTGCCCCTAGGCTGATGTGCCCCTTCAGTCTCATTTTGTTTTGTGGACCTGGCTTATCTTTGGCTGAAGGGTAAATCTCAGGAGTGACTTCATTACTGAGCTAAAAGGGTGTCCGGGAGCCATACTCTTGGGGTTTCTCCAGTCTCTGTCAGGCCAGTAAGTCTGAACTTTTTTTTGTGAGTTAGAATTTTGTTCCACATTTTTCTCCAGCTCTGTCCAGGACTCTCTCTTGTGATCCCTGTCAGGGCAGTTGGTGGTAGCCAGGCACCATCTAGTTGTACTGGACTCAGTCTGGTGGAGGCTATGGTAGCTGTGGTCCATTAGTCCTTTGGACTAACATTTCCTTTGTAGTTTTAGTTTTCTTCATTCTCCCTTACTTCCAAAGGGGTGAGACCAGTGGAGTATCTAGATGGCTGCTCACAGCCTTTTAAGATCCCAGACGCTACTCATCAAAGTAGAATATAGAACGTTTTCTTTATAAACTATAATATGCCAATTGAACTAGATGTTCCCCGAGACCGTGGTCCCCATAGCTGAGGGGAGTATTTTTAATAGAAAGTAAATTATCAAGCTTAAACTATGGAGGGCAAAGTGTAGCTATAGTTGTGTGCTGATTTCCAATATTATTATTTCTTTTAATATTCTAGGAAATCTCACACCTTCAGCATTTTCTATAAAAGAATTTAATTATGACCCGCTTCATACCATCACAGTAAATTTTCATGAACTTGTATATGTGGGTGTCTTGCCATCTATGTAGGAGGTGAGAATAGCAGAGCAAACAGTGGAATTATTTGTCCTGTAGGAAAACTATTCTAAATATTATACAATTTGGATTTATTCTTACAAAGCATGGAGAGCATTTTTATTAATAATCCAAGGAAATCAAATAAAGTTAAAGCATGTTCATGAAAAAAAAAGGATTGTAATTTTAAATATAAAAATTCTTTTTTTTTTTTTTAAATATGTAGATATTTGTTCAGTCCAATCAAGGTGAAGAAGAAACAACAAGAATTTCATATTTTACTTTTATTGGTACTCCGGTCCAAGCAACAAATATGAACGACTTCAAACGAGTAAGTTTGTGTAAATGATATTTAAGGGAAGTAAAAAATACAATTTTAAAGGAATAATTTCAAATACTTAGTCACAATTTTTTTAATCATAAAGATCCAAAATCATATTATGTCATGAAATTTTGTAAGAACTCTTGTGCTTAAAGTTCAGCAAGTTCTCCTAATTACGTTCAACTAAAAGTAGAAGTCTTTAATAAAGATGATAAATCTTACTGATTCTGTGTCTACTAATTAATGGCATCTAAATAAGAAGAGTAAACATAAGTTTGGCTGTAGAAAGTAGTAGAAATTAATGGAAAAATAGGGGCAAGATAAATATATTTTGAAAAAAGTAGTGAGGTTTTAAGGACTTAGCTGATACTGAGGTTTTGATTTTCATTGTTTCTAATGAAAACATTTTAAATGACTTGAATAATTTTAATTAGAGAGAATGGACTCAGCTTTACTACATTGAGATGCTAACTTTCCAAATCTCATACATAATGATCTTTAGGAATGGGGTCTAATCTCCTTCTTATGTTCGTGGAACTTCTAATTGCTAACATTTCCCTAGGGTTACTTATAAATATACAGCCACAGATCATAAAAGAGATGGAGAGCTGATCAGTACAGAACACCAGTTGCTAGATATAGTTTAAACATGTGGAAGCACAGGGGACCTTGGTATCACAATGTTTCTGATGGCTATATCTGGCATGCACTGTAGAACTTGAAGTAACAGGAGAAGAATTTCCCTAAGACTGCCAATACCGGGAGGAAAAGGCACCTGACTAACACTTTAGACTCCTGTATGGGCATTGGAGCTGTAGAGTATCTTGAGAACTCTTATTCTTTGTAGTGATATCGACAAGTCTCATTTAATTCAATTACAGAAAAATTCATGCGCCACATAACATCTGTTCAGGCAACCTCTGACCATATACACGTCCATGGTCCCATAAGACTATACAGGCAGTCCCCAGGTTAGGAATGTCCAACTTACATACAACCTGAAAGTTACAAACCAACCCTCATAAAGCCTATTATAGGCAGTCCCCGGATTATGAACAAGTTCCGTTCCTAAGTCTGTCTTAAAGTTGGATTTATATGTAAATTGGAACAGTAAGGTACAGTTCGGATCATACCTGACGTCAGCTAGTTAAATGTTTGTCTTAGTATATAGTATATTAAAAAATATAAAAAACATTGAAGAAACACTTCCAGATACACTAAAACATCTTCAACATAATACTATGGTAGTAATAATAATGTTTTGATGCACGTAGCAAAGTAGCACCCGTTTGGTATTATGAACCATTGGTATGTACCTTGAATTTTAAATATAATAGGCTTTACGGAGTTTATTTCATCTACAGATTGTATGTAAGTCAGGGACTGCCTGTGTATAAAATGGTGTTCGCACAACATCCAAATCGCATAACGTCCTATTTCGCAGAAAGTGCTGTGGACGTTAAGTGATGTATGACTGTAATAGGATGGCAATTGTATGCTGTTGTACAAAACTTGAAAACCTTGAAAATAGATATTTTAGTGGTCATTTTTCAACTCTTCCTGTCTCATTGCATAGTAACTTTTAGGAGCTGCAGGAATAATTATGTGCTTAGACCTGCCATGTCTAGATTTTTGACGTGTATAATAACAGGTGAAAAGAAGCAGAAATTAAACATCTGCATTTTTATGATATGAAGTATGTATTACTGGGAAAATGTATGAACAACAAAGACTTTGGCTGCCTGCTTTGTTGCTTTGCCTGTTTGAATTAAATGCCTACTGACTTGGCATTAACTTTGCCTTGCATAGTTTTGTTTTCAGCTTAATTCTTTCGTAAGTCCTACTATTTGCCCATGCCGTAAATTTGTTGTAGTTTCCTGCTCCTCACCCCAGTTTATGCCGCTGATGTTTGATTTCTATTTTTTCTATAAGTAAGCATGTCCTTCCTCTCTCTTATCAGCCTGCCGTTTGCTTAAAGTTTTTCTAATTTTACATGCAAGAATCTGTTTCTGTCTTTGCTTTTAACATTCTTCTCCCACCTTTTCAAACCTAGTCTTTCTCTTTTTTGACTGCCAAACTACCTTTTTTGAGCTGTCTTTAGGATAGCAAGGTGTTGCATTTGTGTTTGTTTTGTAAGTTAGCCATGTGTTCATTTAACTAATACTAGCTTATTACCTTACTTAAATTACTAGAGCCATAGTTCTCAAACTTTTTGGTATCAAGACTTACACTATTAAATATGTTTATGTGGGCTGTGTCTATCTAATATTTACCATATTAGAAATTAAAACTGAAAAAAATTTTAAAATATTTATTTACAAATAATAATAGTAAACCCATTGCATGTTAACATATAAATAATGCTTTAAAACTATTTTCCAAAACAAAAACCAGTTTAGCGAGGAGCATTGTTTTACAGTTTTACATATTTCTTTAATGTCTAGCTTAATAGAATTCTCTCTTTGTCATATCTGCTTCTGTATTCACGTAGTTATGATACCACATGTCACATAGCCTCTGGAATCTGCTGTATACTTGTAAGAGAGTGAGAGTTTAAAGACAAAGAATGATTTAGCGTTATTATGAAAACAGTTTTGACCTCACAGACTTCCTGAGAGGGGTCTGAATCACACTTTGAAACTACTGCAAGAACAATTTTAATGCTGTAAATGGACCTCCTTCTTGGTGTTCTGGGCTTCTTGGTCTCTTGCTTTTAATGTGTGATAAATTTGAATTGGTTAAATGATTTTTTTATGTATAGTGGTATTACATTTCCTTTTAAGGGTTTCTGAATGAGATTTCTTCTACTTGTAGTCATTCATTGTCTTGCAGGGTTATTCCTCAAAAGTAAGCTAAGATCTCATTGTTTTTATATTTATACTAAGTCAGCAACTTCAATGTAGGTAAAATGCAATAAAAAATTCACAGTTAAAGTAAGTTTAACTGAAATTGGCCAGTTAGGTCCGTTTACAAATGAGTTTGGTTTCTAGTGAAGGAAATAACAGGTTATGGTATGGTACTTATCTCTGTAGTATTATGCTAGGTACAAGATATACTTATCATGATCTTTCATGATTTCATTATCTTTCTATAGTGAGCTTACATTCTTGAAGAATAATGCACAAACATATGGAAAGTTAAAATTAATTAAAACTAAATTAAGGCCCTGTTCCTCTACAGAATAGTCTCATAATATCCCAGTCCTGTAATCTTCCTTCTTCCCAACAGTGGGCTGGAAAATTATGAGAATACTTTGTGGAAGAAGAGGGCCTTGAACTTAGCTTTGAACATAGAATTCAGTTAGAAAAATAGGTAGTGATGGACACGCCAGGTAGAATAGAAAAGTAGGAACATGAACAGGAACATGGAAGGATACAGGACTTATTCAAGGACAAGTGGAGTATAGCACTTCTTCCCTTTACTTTTTGTATCCTGAATTTAAAAGGGATTACACATATTAATTAGAATTTAAAATTTCAGAACAGCTTTGGTATACATTCTATCAGCACAGGGAGGAAGGTTTTGATACCTTTGTGTAGTGAAGAGAGCTGTATAAAATGGTTTCATGAAGGAGTAAAATAGATTAAATGTTTAGCATTTTCAGTTTACATTTTTCTCGTGAGTTGTTTCTAGATAATTTTAGCTTTCAGAATGTCATTGGCCTTCTCCTTATGTCACTGAGATGACAGAAGCTAAGGTAATACTGATGAATCTTGGATGTGGATAGAAATCTTAGACCACCTTGCATGCCATTGCAACTTTATAAGGTACTTTTAAGAATTGGTAGACTAGAAGAATTCTTCCACTTGTCTCTTTTTGGCTCTTCTTGTAGGCATCATGCACAGATTATAATACACACTTAGGTTATTTGTTGTTGTGAATGAGTTCTTTGTGTTGCAGCATGAAAAGCTTGCCATTTTAATTGGAAGTAGATGTTTTCTTTGCTGCAGTATGCTGTTTACATGGATTGCTTTATTTTACTACAGAAGTATTAAAATATGTGTGTCTAAAAATGAGCAAAATTGTAGGGGCTTCTGCTTCTTAGGGAATGAAGTGCATGTAAAAAGCAGAGCAGATTTTTTTCTTTTTTATCACTATAATAAAAATAGACGTTTCTAAACTGGCCATTCACTGTATCAGCTCTTTTTGTAACGTTTCTGTCTGTTTATTTTTCAGCTTTTTTAATCCAACTCAAATGAACTAAAAACAGAAGACTTTTTAAAATGAATATAAAGATTGACCTTGTCTCACTCTACTCCCCTCCTTGCTTCTCTGCTCATCTAGCACCTGTCTGCTCTCACCCTTCCCATGTCCTCGCCATTGTTGGTGCAAGATTTCTACAGCTTCTATCATCTGGATCAGCCTTCTTGTTACCTATATTGCCTCAACCAGCTCTTTCTTCAAATCCCATCCCAGTCATGTTTCTCAGTTGGCCTTTTGTTTTTGTTTTGGGCTTGCAACTAGGTGCTTTAATTTCATCACCATCCCATGTTGCTCACCCAGCTTTTTGTTTTTTGGTTTTTTTGCCTTTCTACTGTTTCTTATTTTGTACTACATTTGAGAAGTTAATATTACAATAAAACGTACATTATTGTAAACAGTTTTCATATTTAACAAGTTGTTGGATAAATGTTTTAATAAGTTCTAAACTAAATTTATTTTTTAAGATCTATAGAATTCATTTTGGAAATTAAATATCAACAATTTTATCTATTTTTATACTAGTAGAAGTATAACATAGAAGCCCTGGTGGCACAGTGGTTAAAGCAATCAACTGCTAACTGAGAGGTCAGCAGTTCAAAACCACCAGTGACTCTGGGGGGGGGAAGATGTGGCAGTCTGCTTCCGAAGAGATTTAAAGCCTCGGAAACCCTATGGGGTCGCTATGTGTCGGAATCAACTCAGTGGCGGTGGCAGTACAATATGTTGATTAGGCTGTAGCTGAGGGGTTTGGTTTTCTTTTCTCATTGGGATGTTAGCCCAAAAGTCTTTTGATAATTGGTGTGGTCATATCCTCTGCTTTTGCTTACCTGGTGCGCTTAAGGCCAGTTGAAGGACTTGTGGACTGAATGTTAGGTGGATGTAAAATATTGGCATAGAAGTCAATGGACTTTCCTGAATAAATATCTTTGACACCTAATTTTGATGTACCTAGAATTTTATTTGTCTGTAGTGTAATATACAGACTTAAGAATAAATAAAAGAACTTTATATTTGGGGTGAAAAAATCCATTTTGGAATGCTGAATTTCTTCTTTTTTACAGAGAGTACACATCGGCAAGTTGAGAGTTATCAGCCTGTGAAATAGTATGCAGATTTGTATCTTCTGTATCACATCTGCTAAAATTTTAATTTTTAATATTAGTTGTTTTGGTTTTCTTTTGCTTAATCTAATAGCTCCATGTTTTGTGTGTTCTCAAGATAATGATCAATACTGTTTTCTGATACAAAGGGTGCTACCTTCCTTCTTTTAAATCTCTTAAAACCTGAGTTTCTTACTCATATCCACATTCCCCTTTTATGAGACTACCTCTAGCATCCTTCTGACTTGTTGGGCTTTCTAACATGATTTCCTTGCACTAGAGAGGAGTTCTTTAAAGCAATAAACATGGTTTTCCTTAAAGTGGGGGAAGAAGCATTTCTAGCACTGTGCAATTGGGAATTCGGTGGAAAAGGTTTTGATAATCTCTCATTGAATGACAGTGACCCAGCTGTGTTCTTTTTTAGACCAGACATACTCTGGTGACCTTTATGAGTTTTGCTTGGTACAAACACTACCATTTGGAACAGAATCTGTTTAAAATATGAAAACTACATTTACAAATGTAGATAGAAATCTTTTTGTATATAAATAGATACTCAATAGTATCTTTGAAGTGGATTTCTTTAGAGGCATTTCTGCTACCAGAATATGTTATCTAATGATAACTCTAGGTTTGAAGTAGATTATTTAATTAGAACATAGTTTTAGAACCCTCCCACAGAGTTTATTTTCTAGAATTGTTGGTAAAAACCAGGATTATTCTTTATGTATTTTTGTGCCGTGACATTTATAGCAGTTTTAATTTTTTTAGGAAATATTTTAGAACCCTCAAATATAGAAGTTTTCTAGAATCATTACTAGGATCAAGGTTTATTCTCTACATTTTTATAGTACTACATTTGTACCAACCAGGATTTTTAAAAATAAGAAATGAGGGAAAATTAGTCATCTTTAATCTGTTTTATTGCATATCTGCATACTGAGGAGAAAGTCTAGAAACCTGTCATCTTGGGCCTGAAGACATGAGTTTAGCATACTCTTTTAATTCCAGATTATTTTGTGATTGACATCTGATTTCTAATTGCCTAAATATAGTATGCCAAATATGTTTCACTCATATAGCAGTATCTTTTTAATTAACTTTTCTAAACCGTCAACCTTGTTTTGAAAAATTGTATTACTTTTTTCTTAAAACAGTGTGGGAAACCAAAAATAGCCTGCATGTGTTTTATTTTTAATTCCTTGAGGCTTGGAGGGGAGGGAGGGTCACAGTTTGCTTCAACAATGAGAGTACACTGCATGCCAAAAAAAGATTTAGGGATAAAAATTATACCAAGTTTTAAAAGTAATTACCATGTTGGTATTTTTGAAAATAATCTATATTTATAAGTCAATATAATGTACATAAAAAGTTATTTTTGCTTTTCTAGGTAGTTGGCAAAAAAGGAGAAAGTCACTAAGGTACAAAAGACTCTGGAAGACCATATTGCAGTCACATCTACAGCTCCTGGATAATTGCTTGATTCTCGCCAGAGACTGTCATTGTTTCATTTATTGCCATTACCAATAAATCATTGCTTTGTTCAGGTGGTTTCACTAGTGTTTCTATTGTAATCTTGATACATGCACTTGTAAATAAAAGTCACTTCCTTTGCCAAGTTTAATTTTTGTCTTTCTAAATAGTATATTCTCTTTCCATTTAATTGAAAATTGGTCAGCTTCCAATTTCAGAAGAGAGTTCATTGTCTGGCATCATATGGATTGAAAACCAGTTTCTCCCTTTAGAGGAGCCTAACTGTCTGGGACCACTAATGGGGCATATGCTTACAAGTGCATACATGTAGAGTTGTCAGTTCTCAAAAAAAATTAGTTTTTAAAATTTAATACTGTAATCTGTATTTAAAATGCAAGTAATTGGAATAAATGGACTTGGAACAGTTGACCATGTACAAATGAGTATTAACTCATATGTTTATTAAAAGACATTCAGGTATCAGGTACAAGAATTACTCAGCTTGCCAATTACAAGAAATAAGCAGGCATAGTGAGATTCAACTACTCTTACCTGAAACTGTTAATGAGACCACAAATTCTTTCTCATATCATAATTTTAATTTCTGGGTAAGCTTTACAAATTTGAGTCAGTCATTTTCTTTACTAAGTGTTGAAACCAGAAGATTGGGAAAAGCACGATACTATGAATTCACGAGTCAGTAGGAATTATCATCTTTAATCAAGTATATATTGTTTTAGTTACCAAAATATGCAGTGTAGATATATAGAGGACATGATTTAAGGTTGAAAACGAGTTAACCAAACGTATATGTTTACAAGAACTTTCACAAAAGGCTGGCAAAACAAAACATCTGGTCTTTATTATTTTTAGTTATCTTAAACTGTAATCTAGAAAGCATTGGTAAATTTAATTTTCTTGTTTCCCTGAGTACTTTAAAAATTCAGTGTTTGAAAGATATGTAAGACTGTAAATTGTGATTCAATTAAATAATGCAGTATAATGCCATTTGGGGGAATTTTTGTCTAGGAATATGGTAGAGTCAGTTGGCCTTTGGGAGACCGATGTATTTATACATATTAATGAGAAAATTATGCACAAGTGTTAGTGTTGAAATAGTCACTTTTCTGAAACCCAAGTGTCATTAGATAATGTTTAGTTCATTTGTATGTATGTTAGCACAGTAACTGGGCTGTAGTGATGTCTGTATCTTAGGTATTTCCTAGTTAATGTTGCCTTGGGCCAAGTGGTGGCAGAAGGACAAGAAATAAACATGTATAACACTCCTTGTATATACCATCTCAGATTAATCACATCTGAAATCAAAGATAAGATTAATACAAAAATTTTGTTTTACAGTTTTGTACACTTAACAGCCTTTTTGGGTGATTGTAAAAGTGCCTCATCTTAAGTATTGCTGACCTCATCCTATTTATACTTGACAATTTGAAAACCCAGTGAGAGTAATGTCATATTTGTAAAGGATTGGGCATCAGATTTGTATTGTTTTTGTGACTTTTCTATAACTCAGTTAACTGCAGTATATAAACATTCCATAATTATTCAAATTGTAAATAGTGAAAAATTAATGTTCATAGGTAACTAACATGTTTCACTTATGGGAAGTTTTAATATTACAAATAAACATGCATAATTGACGTTATTTAAAATACCAAGCTGAAATCCTGATGTTTTCCCCTAAAAGACTGTGTGTGTATATGTAGAACACACTGAATTTTCCAAATGAACAAAAACATTTGAAAAATGTAATCCTAGTTATTTTAACCATATAGTATCTGTTAGATAGTACTTTCTAGAAACCTAATGCTAGGGTATTTCTTTTATCAGACAGCAAAAAGAAACGCTTTCCCTTGATTTGCATTTTTTTTTTTTTGTTATATTTCACATCAGGATGCCTGTCTCGTGAAACAGTGAAGAGCTCTGTCCATAATAGAAACAGAAGTATTTCAGTACTAAAGTCTTTGTCAGCATAAGGCCAGGCATACCACACTTGCGCCCATGGCAGGCTTTTGTAGTCTCTTGGCTCTGTTTGCCATCAGGCTATAAATTGCCCCCAATCTCAACATTGTGTTGGAGGCAGCCACTTAAACCCAATCCACTAGAGTTGACGTGAGTCAAAACCAATTTACTATGCCTGTCTCAAGGTTTGAGGATGTATATTCTTTGCAGCATTTACACGTGAGCTGTTAATGTACATTAGGTCTCAGCAATTTATTTATGGCTGCTAGTGATACACTTTCTCTGGGGGACTTTTTTTTTTTTGTTAACCTAAACCAGCTCATCCCGTGTTCTTATTTAATACTTTATTGAGAATAAAACATTAGAGTTGAGTAAATTAGCTTTGTAAGCTTTAAAGGATGAAAAAAAATTAGGGCTTTACCCATGTTGATGTTTACATAGTTTAGTTGGGTAGGTTAGTTTTGTGTAGATATGTATCTCTTCTGGAATTGGTTATTTCTAACCTCAGATGAAGCTTTCTTTGCATAAGTAATTTAGAATAAAAAATATGTTCACTGAATTGCTAAAGGAATACTTTGAAGGAATATTGTGTTCATTTAAAATTAGCTCAGTATTAGAGGTGTTATTCCACGTTACAAAGGCTTTCAAATATACACATTGTTTTGTAATACACATATAGCATGTTTATGAGGTATATGAATTTAAAAACATTGAATATTCCTCAATTAAGCATGCTTATAATTTCTTGACACTGATTAGGAAGAATATGCCATTTTAAGCATGTTTTAAATTCAAATTATTTTAGTTTTAAATTCAAATTATTTTTAAATCAATAAGTTTTTATATGCTCAGCACTGTAGAAGTAAGTGGGCAGGGTGGAGATTTTATGGGCTAATAAGATGTAAAGTTATTAATCGGATAATGTAAAAATTATGCCTGTAAGATAACTTTAGAATTTGCATATGTTGCTAAAATTGTACACAGCTAGGATCCATGTTAAAATCTTAGTAACTTCAAAGGTGCTAGAGTATTTCTGCTTCCTCTACACTTGTTAGGCTTCTCTATGGAAAGAGGAAATTAATTTCAGAATGAATTCTAAGTTGAACAGGCCAGAATGAGTTGTGAAAACATCATTTGTTTATACTTGGAAATAAATTCAGAAGCATTGGCACATGATGCTACTGAAGAGCAGGATCTTTTGACGGGTGCATCCCTGCTCCCCCAATTGTTAGCTGTGTCATCTTGAGCAAGTAACATCCTTTGGAGCTTCATTTTCTCCTGTGTAAAATAGGAACACCTCCCTCTTAGGCTTGTTATGGAGATTAGGTGTGCCTTGCTTTGTAACTGGAGTAAGGATAAGTAATCCTCCTTACTCTGCTCTCTTATCTCACTGCCACTGCTTTTTAGCCCATCATTACTTGTTTGGCATACTCCTCTAACCTCCTGATTGTCTCTTTGCCTCTGACCCGGCCCTCTCTAATGTTTCCTTCATGTGGCTGCTAGTTGCTTTCCTTCACGTGACATATAAGGCTATTCCCCCTCCAGCCTTCTCTGCCCTCATTTCTCTAGCGCACTGCACCGTACTAGCAGTTACCAAAATATACCCTGGTATCTCATGCCTTCCTCTGACTGAACTTGTCCATCTGTCAAAATCCTACTTGTTCTACAAGGCTCAGTCGAAGCAAAACTGATATAGGGAACATTCATAATAATTGTGTATGCCTCTGCTAACATAGCACCCTGTGTAATTTCATCAGAAAGGACATTGGTGGTTCAGTAGTAGAATGCTCAGCTTCTATGCAGGAGATGCGAGTTTGATTTCCAGCCAACGCACCTCATGCACAGCCTCATGTCATTGGTGGTTTGCATGTGGCTATGATGCTGAACAAGTTTTCAGTGGAGCTTCTAGATTAAAATGGACTAGGAGGAAAGGCCTGGCAATCTACTTCCAAAAACCAAACAGTGAAAACCCTATGGATTACAATAGTCAAATCCATAACTGATCATGGGGATGGTGCATGAGCGGGCAGCATTTTGTTCCGTTGTACATAGAGTTGCCACAAGTTGGGACCACCTTGATGGCAGCTAACAACAACATTCATCAAGCTACATTGTAATTATTTGTCTTCTTATTTTCCCTGCTAGATTGTGAGTAGTAATACAAAAATTTTGTCCTTCATATCAGTCCCTAGTACCAGACCAAAAATCATTAAATACAATGTTGAAAAAGTTCTCAGATTCCAAGAGGAGATGCTTGAGTGTGAGAAGTTAGCAGAAATTTGCAATTAGGCAAGAGAAGGAAGAGAAATTCGTATAGATTAAAGAAAGCATATGGTGTGTTCATTGGATGACTGAGTTATGCATAAGAGATTTCTTAGGGAGTTGAAGAAGGAGATGAAGCTGGAAAAGCAAGTAGAAACCATAACATGAAGCATCTCTTGGCATGTGGAAGAGATACTTTATCCTTAGTTATGGGAGGAGGGGAGAGTAGAGAGAGGAGTCCATGATGACTAATAAGTTTCTCACTTTTACAATTGGGTGGAGAAATGTTGATTCCTAGGACAAGCAACAGGTTTGGAGTGAAAGATGAATATCGTTATGGGTGCATTGCCTGGAACAATTTACCTGAAATGCTTTTTGCAGCATTCGGATAGAGAAGTCTAGCAGGTTGCTATTAGTTGCCATTGAGTTTACTCCACCTCATGGCAACCCCGTGTACAACAGAACGAAGTGTTACCCCTAGTCCAGCACCATCTTCATGATCGTCGGTATGCCCAAGTCCATTGTTGCAGCCATTGTGCATTTTATGTGCCTTCCAACCTAGGAGGCTCATCTTCCAGCACTGTATCGGACAATATTCTGTTGTGATCCATAGAGTTTTCATTGGCTAATTTTCAGAAGCAAATCACCACGCCTTTCTTCCTAGTTTGTCTAAGTCTGGAAACTCTGCTGAAATTTGTCCACTGTGGCTAACCCTGCTGGTATTTAAAATTCTGATGGCATAGCTTCCAGCACTGTAGCAACACGCAAACCACCACAATATGACAAACTGACAGACGGGTGGCGGGTCTAGTAGATACATAGGCAGAGATGTGGTTTTACAGCTTAGGGCTAGAAGTAGGGAACTGGGAGTCATTCAGGTGATAAAAGTTGAAATAGGTGTATGAGTGG